TCGCTTTATCACTCTGATCCCCACCACTTTTTGGCGTAGATTTTTCTTTACTTGTATCACGAACCTTCAAACAAATTTCGTACAAAAACGCTCAACACTACTTTAAATTCAGTTTCAAATAACTAAGCAATCAAAAAGATTAATACAAAATCTCTTTCTGCTTTCGATACTCTTTATGCTTTGAATTTTTCCTCAGAAAAGCCTTACTTTTTAAAACTGGCTTCCCAAAAAAGCAAAAATCCTCGAATCTTGGAATAGTCAGTAGGAAGTGACAGTCAACAGAAAATGATAACGAATAGCCCACCTGATATCGAGCACACAGTGCCAACGCGAAAAGTGTGGGATCCTGCTTTGGAGCTCGGCCAGCAAGAGAGATATCCAGGATCTCGCGCAATATCATTAATCCCTGTCCTAAATGTAGTCTCTTGTAAATCACTTTATCTTACAAAGCTTTTAAACAAATCTCTCTTATTAGCTTAGAGATGAGACTCAGTTTGTGGCCTTGACAATCGAGCAGGCCGAATGATCTTATTCATTATTTATACATTTCCAAATTCCATCATCGGGATTTGTAAATTTCCAAATTCTACCATCGGGATTTACACATTTCCAAATTTCAACTTCTATCACAAAATCGCGTTCAGCTGTGGCTGCGGCTCCAATGCAGTATGTTTCTACTAAACTTCTGCATAATTGTCTCCAACCATAACTGATAAATGGTGAAAAGCCACTAGAAAGAAGCGCTAATATCAAGGTTGAAAGAGTGCGTAATCAGCACAGAGGCTGTAGTATATCTACTGCTCTTCTCAAAAATGACGAGGAGAACAAGAGGACGATCGCCAGTGTCCTCGAGAATCAAATAACCACGAGGCGCTTTAACCACGGAAACCACTGAGAAGACGCAAATTGCGAAAAGCACAAGCTGTTTAAATGACCCACTAACTGGACAATACAAGAAGGCCCCTCCCCACCTCCTGCCCCTCCCCCGTCCCCTCAACAGCCTTCTGCACTAGCCTAACTGCGAAGATGCAAGAAAGTAAAAAGATCTCTTCGAAAAGGATAAC